ATTAGGTATGCATAAATGCACCACACCGTGTTCGTAAATACACCATTATGTGTGGTGTATTTTTTTTTTTGTGGTGTATTTTTTGGCATTTCATTCTGGTGTATTTTCGAACACTGTATGGTGCATTTATACATACCTAATGGTGTACGCCGCACTGACCGCACGGGAAGCCCTGACCTCACAGAAACCAAAATCTATATATATATATATATATATATATATATATGTGTGTGTGTGTGTGTGTGTGTGTGTGTGTGTGTGTGTGTGTGTGTGTGTGTGTGTGTATTCAAATGAGGACCAGTATATTATAGAGGACTGTGAGGAACCGGCTAATGACACACACTACATCTGTCCTCACAGTCCTCTATAATATACTGGTCCTCATTTGAATATACATCTATATATATAGATGTGCGGACGGAACACCAAGACGGAGTACCCGTCTTGCGTCGGTCGATGCAACGAGTAGACTGCGTAAGGGTTCCTTTATTTTTTTTTTAAAAAAAATAATCAGTATGATTTTTTATGAGAGATTAAGTGCATAATGCTATTGCATGTATGTCGAAGTTGATGTTGGGTTAAAGAACTGAAAATTGGTGTCTTTGATTTGGGGAAAAAAACGGGAGTGAGTGTAGTCGTTGATGGCGGCGATTCGGCCGGAATCCGAATTACCGGCGAGGTCGGGGAGAACTTAAAATAAATAGGGGTAGTAGTGGGTTGTTTCCAGGGAGAAGCTCTGTACGCGGTGATATACCGTGGGGTGGACAGGGACACGAGCACAACAACTCAAGGTATTTAAAAGGAAAATGAAAAGCGAGTTGACGTTCAGCCCATACAAAAAGTGGGCAGAGATTGACATGGTAAGTTAACATATGACTTAAATGGGTAAGAAGTGTGAAATGTATTTGTTCAAGGGTTTAAAAAGTTCTTGCTAACCAATTTGAGATGAATGTGCAATGCAGTTCATATTCCCAATATTTAACAAATCTTACTACTATGTCATCGCCGCCGATCTGAGGGGAGGGACAATGCAAATCATTGACAATTCATCCGCTGGAAAAAAAAAAAAAAAAAAAAAAAGAGAGGAAATATATGGGAAAATCCCTGATATTTTGGTAAGAACTTCAAATCATATGTGTGTAAAATAATTTGGGTACCAGTTTGAAATAAATGCAAAGAATATGAGCACAACTGTCATTTCAATAAACTGCATGAGGGATGAAAAAAAAAAAAAAAAAGAGAGAGAAACAGATGGTGGAAATGTGTGGAGAAACTGTGATATGAAAAAAAAAGATAAAAAAAAAAAAAAAAGATAAACTGTGGAAATGAAAAAAAAAAAAAAAAAAAAAAAAAAAAAAAAAAAAAAAAAAAAAAAAAAGAGAAACTGTGCATCCATTATTGCTCTGTAGGTGCAACGTAGATATAAATGTGTAGCATTAGAGATTAATTACAGTTGAAATACATATTGAAATAATGACAACTGGTGATATGATAAGAGTTACTAACCATGTATATGTATGAAACCAGAAGGACATGCGCGGGTGCTTCATAGACGATAACAAGGACCATAAAAGGGCGGCTGAAATACTGAAAATGGAACCAAAGAGAATGCAAATGCCTTGGAGAGATGCAACAGAAAATCCAGACAGTGGAGTATATACAATGAGGCACATGGAATGCATCATTGGGGTGAAAGCGAGGAGTTGGGAATGTGGGCTAACCAAGGGAGACAAGACCACAATAGAAACATTACGAGCGAAGTACATAAAGGATATCCTACTCAGCGAATGTAATGAGCAACACAGCAAAAATCTTCAAAGCTCACCACTGTTCGGCCAGGGAGTGTTCACGCAATTCCGTTAAGCAGTAATGAAAAAGCACGTGAGTCTTGAATGCAAGATAAAGCCTTTAGAACATTTAACTTATTTCAATTATAACGCTGGACTAGATGAAAACATATTCCAGATATAATAAAGAACATGAAATAAACAGCAGTAAAAGAAAGCATGCACCAGGATATGTTCACGCAGTTCGGAGCCTCACTCCTACGTCTGCGGGGCCACTCACATCAACCCAAATCCACTATGATGAAAAACGGAGTACAAAAAGATAGTTAATTACACTCTACAGTATAACCTATAACTACTCCAGTGGATCCGATGTGCAGGCGTTCTTCATTGCTTCATGATCTGATTGCAAGATCTTCTTCACACACAACAGTACAGGATATATTTGGTATAGATGCACCAAGATTTTCAGTGTAAGACTATGTGAAAGAGTGCGCAATTTGAATGCTAATTAAAGTAGCATTATATATAGGTTGTAAATGATGCTTTGATCCTTAAAGCATGCACTCTTCCATTCCTTGAATTCGGCTGCTCCATTAGATTTAGATCTCTTCATTTATAGGGTCTTGAATAAATACTTTGAACAAGCTTTATACCTCCTGGATTACTTCCTTGCGCTGATCCAGTCAACTACTCCAGACGACGTGACTAATCCAGTAGCTAATCCAGGACTACTTTGACAACTAATCTAAGCCAATAATACAGAGGTTTAGATGTGCCATATATTTACACTTACAAGTAAGATGTGTGATTGTGCATTATTTTTTTGACGACTTTAAAAGACATGACTAAGGACAACAATCAAAGGTTTAGAAGTTGCAAAAAGTTTTTTGCGAGGGACAATTATTTTTTGGTAAAGTTGTGCGAAATGCATAAGCATGGTTTATAGTTAATAGACTGAGACGTAAAAGATGAACCACTATGTGCATCGACTGTAAATGCATAACCCATGATGAATTCGTGCATCATTGGAGTACACCATTGTGCAAATACGGTACATCTGGATGAATCACTATGTGCATTGCCGGTGACTGTATTCATGCAATGTTAAATGTCAAAAAAAAATAAAAATAACCCGTAGTCAGCTAAGTAGATTATGACACGTTATGATGATGTGCACCCACACAGAAATAGAAAATGCATCACGGTAGGAGGTCATCAGTGCGACGGTAATAAACCAACTTAACATTGAATTAGGGGAATCAAAATAAAACACACACAAACGCGTATAGTCATTTATAGGGCAGTTGAATTGTTGTGCAACATTGAAGGAAGCATACGTGCAAACTTGCACAAAATACCAGATACCATGTGCAACGACATAGAACTGTACTGTGCAAGTGGGAGGTGGTTGCATAATAGGGAAAAAAAGAATAAAATAATACCATCTTATGTCAAAAAAATAACTCGTAGTCCGCTAAATAGATTACGACACGTTATGATGATGTGCACCCACACAGAAATAGAAAATGCATCACGGTAGGGAGTTGTCGGTGCGACGGTAATAAACCAACTTAACATTGAAGTTTTATTAAAATGCATGTTGCATGTGATAAACATTATTTTTATTGTTATTTTAAATAATCTTTTTATAGTTAATTTTCAATAGTTAACTAATTATATATATATTTCTATTATTATTGTTATAAATATCTTTGTTAGTATTATTCATTTTTAGGACTGTTTTTATTAAATTTGTTTATTATTTGAGTTCTATCGCAACAACAATTTCTTAATCTCAATTTAATAAGATTATTATTATTATTATTATTATTATTATTATTATTATTATTATTATTATTATTATTATTATTATTATTATTATTATTATATGAAATTGTTGTTAGCCGGTTATTTTAGGGCCATCAAATAAACAATCTTTTTAATTCTTTCAGTCATTGCTAAGGAACGAGAAAGGCGCAGCAAACCAGAGCCAGTATTCCGCAGATGGATTCTTTTGGCGATCCGATTGATCAGCGGGAGCTCAAGCGGAAGCTGTTGGATTTAGGCATTATAAATAGAAGAAAACTTGAGAATCAAAGACATCAATTTTCACTACGGACTAATTCCGGTCGGAAGTGATTTTTTCGGTGGTCGACGACAACGAATTCTGTAGCCGTAGTGTTCGGCGTTCCGGCTATGTAGTCCGTCTCTGGTGTTCGACAATTCAATAGCGAGTTATCCTTTGTCCCCTTTTCTTCATTATTTAATATTGTCAAAATTATATTATAATTATTCTTTGGGAAAAGCAATGTTGTGTAAGCTACTTGCTGGTGTTTTCTTTATGATTTGCTAAACAATCTTTTTAGGAATAGGATAATTTTCATGAAAGTCTCATAATGTTAATTATCATTATGCACCCTTGTTAATTAATTAATTGATTTTCTGCTTCCTGATAATTTACTTGTTCACCTTCTTACGTTTTGATTCAATTATTCATTCGTTTTTAGCTTCAGATTTTAATTACTTTGAATTTGATTCTTAATTAGCTTTGAACTTTCAAATCGTTTAATTAGTTAATTTAATTTCAAGTCATTAAATTGCATCGTACAATTCCCTGTGGATCGACTCTTGCCTTTGCACGTTATTACTACCGTGACTCGTGCACTTGCGAGGACATTTAAAATTGTCCATCAGCATGACACCCCTTAGTCGAAATGATAGGGTACATCAAAGGAACCGAATGTGCAAGACAGCACACAAAACCAGACACAATGTCCAAGTACCTAACCTAAACTGTGCATTAGGGGGATGTTAACAAAAAGGGGAATCAAAATAAAACAACAACAAACGCGTATAGTCATTTATAAGACAGTTGAATTGTTGTGCAACGTTGAAGGAAGCATACGTGCAAACTCGCACAAAATTCCAGTCACCATGTGCAACGACACAAAAATATACTGTGCAAGTGGGAGGTGGTTGCATAATAGGGGAAAAAAGAATAAAATAAAACTATGTTCATCTTATGTAAAAAATGCAGAATATAAAATTGTTCCACAGAATAGAAACACAAATCCAAGAAACAAAACAAAACAAATCCATTATTGAAAACCAACATCAAATGCGGAATAAGAACAAGTCAATGGTGAAGTAAAAAACATATCAATGTATTTAAGTTTAAATTAAATCCAAAGAGCAATACGACCCCCTTCCTCATACGTCAACGTTGCGCATCGGGCAGGTACGACTATTATGGCAATACTTTTCACAAGTTTGGCATTGTCGTTGACGACGGCCCGACTTTTCAATAGCTAATTCCCTTGTACTTTTGTAACGTTTGCCACCACCCTTGTTATTAGAGATTGGAGGAGGACGAATATCTACTTGACCATCGGGCGAAGCACCACAAAACGACTCAAATAGTTGCTTCTTAGAAGAAGAGGAACGATCGCTAGGACCATTCTCAGCCAATAAACAAGCATTGAAATCTTTCAAAGCTGCAGTCAACTTCGTAACATGATCAACACTCCGTGAAGCCATGGTCACGCACGAAAAGAATTCTGTCCAAGCTTCACCAATAGTGACATTTACCTCCGAAGCGCCCCCACGTTGAACACCCAACAACTGCCGCACACAAGCCCCCCTGGTCCAACGTGCAACCACATACCGAGAAGGGATAGAAACAACCCTACGATCCTTGAAAACCCAGAAAATATGACGACAAAGTAACCCAACCCGTGAAAACATGTTACACGTGCACTCGATAACATCATTACCAGAGTCAAAACTCACGGTGCGCACCGGCTCATCACCATCTTGAACCTCATACCGGGTTACCAACCCTTCAACATTCAAACGCACAGAACGACACGAAAAAGATCCCGCAATAACCTCGGCTTACACATCATAAAAAACATTGATAGTATACACCGCAGCCGCATGCTTCTCAATCAACAACGGAGTCTGGCACAAAGGAAAGTGGCCCTCACATTCGGCATTCAGTTTGGCCTGCGCCAAACGTTGAGCATCAATAGCTCCTTCAAAATTGTTGAACAACTCAGACAAACTAGCATGTTGGTTTGTGCAACTACCAAACACACTATTCGCAGCTTCGGACCTAGATGTCGTGCGAAGCAGACCACCCATGAAAAGATCATTAAAAAACACAGGGATCCAATACATAAGACGAAACCACCGGTGATCATCAAGGCTATACTTTTCCATTACGTCCTGCCAACCCCACTCAAACTCCTCCACGGACAACGTCTCACACCAAACAACATCATTCAAAGCACGCCGAAACTCCTCGTCTTTAGATAGAACATTACCAACCTTCTCACCAACCTTTGACATTATATGCCACATACCAAACCTGTGCCGCGTAGTATCAAACACTTGTGAGACTGCAACCCGCATCGAAGGATCTTGATCAGTGATAGTGCAACTAGGCACACAACCCATTGCACTTTTAAATTGCTGAAGAAGCCACACATAAGAGTCCGCATCTTCACGGGAAATCAAACCAATTGCAAATGTGACGCCTCTCTTGTGATTATCAACACCAGTAAACGGAACCAATACCATACCATACCTGCAAGACATAACACCAAACCAAAAAAAAAAGAATATAACCATGGTCGTTAGCATACTGCATGCACGAATAAATAAGACCAAACTGCACATACCAGTAATTTAAAAATAAACCGACTACAAGGAAGTTTTTATTACGAACACGTGACTTACCTATTAGTACCATAAGTCGCATCAAATGACACCACCTCCCCAAAAACTGAAAAATTGTCCTTTGCAATAGGGTCAGCCCAAAACACCCTACGTAACTGATCCTGCGAATCTACATCATATTTAAAGACATAATCCGGGCAATCGTCTACCTTCTTAGCATATTTTTTCACAACAATATGAGCATCAGAAGTCCCAATATATGTCATTAAATCACGCTTCAAATTTTTAAAATCGACACATGTCGCACCAACATTAGAATACGAACCAGCAAACTCCCTAGCCAAACGAAACGACCTATTAGGCCCAACGTTGGCCCTAGCACACTTAAGCACAAAAATCTAGTGTTGCACATCCATGGAACGATTAACCCGCAAGAAAGGCTTAGCCACATCCGAGCACAAACAATGATTATGACGATGCTCAATGAAATGAACCACAAAAACCCCATCGTCAACCATCTTCAACAACAACCTCGCTTTGCAACCCACCCTATTTGAAACACGCCGGCGCTTCGGAGCCACAGGTGGTTGATCCAACGCACCATCCACAACAACGGGGCCCTGCACCCCCTGCTTGAATCCCTCACGCGAACAAACCAACAAGTCTTTTACAACAACACCCTCCCTGTTCTTACGCACCGAACTACAACTTACATCAAAACCAACGAGAGACGCATACTGACGATAAAAATCAATACCGTGAGCGAGAGAAGGAAAAGTCTGCCCCTCAAAAGGCCTAACCGCCTCATCACACGAAGGCGTCCAAAACTTAGTTCCATCAGGGGACACGTCCATAACACACCCTTGCAGAGATTCCGATCGTACTGCACAAACATCAAATAGAAATACACACGTAAACACAAAAACAGACAATTAAAACCAACATGCACAACATTCCAAAAAACAAGGTGATTGCACATATCAAATGACAGAACATGCACTTTACGAAGTAACCACCTCCCCCCTCCAAAACAAAAACCTTCAAAAACAATATAAAATTCAAAGAACATGTAGAACGAAATGCACAAAACTACCAACAGAATAACCTAACAGCACACAAAAACCCAGCATACACAAGCCATGGTGTCAACCCAACAACGAAACGCATAAATTAGCAAAACAATTTATAAACGAAAAACATATGCCAATGGAACTTATTAAAAAACGAAAATCACAATTACAACTACGACATAAAACCAAACCAAATAGACAAGCACTAACCCAAGAACCACGATTAAAATAGACAAATTAAAACTCCATAAACAACATCAAAACACAACACCTACAACGCATGTCATACACATGAACACATACTTATACACAAACCAAGTAACAACAGATGCTCAATAAATATATACTAGAAACAAACGAAAACACCAACCTGGAGAATCCATAAACCTTCGCACATAGAATGTCAAAAAAAATGAATAAGGATGACTGCAAACTTTGGAACGATGCAAACAAAAACCACAAAAACTAGAAAGTGTATAAAGTGGAACGCTGCATCAGAATATAAACGACCAAAATCTTAATTTACCATGTATAATACTCCTAAAAACGAGCAACTCAGCTGACAAACAAACCCAATAAATAGGAAAGAAAAAACAAAGACAAAAAAACCCTTAAACACTCACGCGCCAAAAGAAAAAAAAATGACAAAATAAATATCCGAAAAAACAACAACCATAGATCAAACCACAAACAAAGGCCAGATTCTGTCCACAGACCTCATGTGAGAACATGACCTCATATGGTCCTCTCTCTCTCTCTCTCTCTCTCTCTCTCTCTCTATATATATATATATATGTTTTTTTTTTAAATTCCATGTTAGCTTGTCAAGGGTTGAATTGCAGCGGTAATTTTAGCCTAAATAATAAAAAGTGGATTACTATGAATAAAAGAGATGGTAATATATTTGTAAAGATTAAAAAATAGATTAATTTTACATATATTTTCATTTCTTACTCTTATTTTCTATTCCTTATGATATGTCATCTTTTGATTGCTTAATAAATGTGGATAGGTCATGATTTTTATTCATTTTTTTTTTATTTCTCTAATAAAAATTGAACACTTAGTAAGAGTTATACCACATAGAGTAAATCTACCATTTTTCTAAAAAATAACGTGTCATTAGTTATTTTTTATGTACAATATAATCCACAAATCACACTTGAAGCTTGCTCGAGATGGTATTGGCGCGCGAGAATCAAAACCATGATCATCAAGTACGAGAATTATATCCCACTTACTTCATCACTCTTTTCGGGGCATCACTGCACATTTTGATTTATAAGAGAACATTCTTTTTAGCTGCCCTTTGGGCATGCCACAATTTTACAACACACCCCTTTAGGCAATATGTTGTAATACACGATACAATTGAATATTTGGTTGATTCTTTTTATATTTAATTAATAAGTAATTCATTTTTTTTAATGTTTGATAGGTTTTGTTAATTTACAGTAACCAATAAATAAAAAAAAATTCTTGCAATGCTGATTTTTCTTATGTAGGAGCTATTGTTAAGCAATGTCGTGCTATTGCTAATATCATGGGGAACGTCTGTGTTTCTCATGTTAGGAGATCAGCGAATCGTGTTGCTCATGTACTAACTAGGGCAACCGGTTCTGTGGCTGGCTCAGGTGTGTGGTTTGCTAACCCACCTGATTGTATCGTTGGTTTATTGAATGTTGAATGAAGTTATGTTGTTTTGTTTCAAAAAAAATAAATAAAAACAATTCTATTCTCAAAGTCAAAAGGTAAACATTAAAAGGGGGAGAACATGAGAAAACAACACTATTCTTCTTTCTATTCCACATTGTAATTTGTAAAATTTGTCTTAAAGCATAAATCAAAGATTACAAGGTACAAGCTGCACAAGATAAAATGGTATCCGAATAAGACACAACTCACAAAGAAAATGGCACAACAACATTCTCCTGTCGGCAACCAGGTGATAAACAAATTTAAATTGAGGTTTCATGCTTTAGAACCACTTCACACTAATCATCATTGCAGTTTTATGGTGTTAATTCTTAAAGTCAAAGGCCGACAAATGGTAGCAATAATAATGCTGTAATCTTGGAATCACTTTTAAGATATGTCTTGGAGAATTTTCTAATTTTTTATTCATTTAATAAAGTGTACATATTGATTGTTTTTTTTTTTTTTTAAGGCTTACACTGTTGGAAAAAAATAGCAAAATTGGTAAGTGACAATTTTGTAATATAAATATATGTGGGGTCCACTTTCAATATGAGTCAAGTTAAAGTGGATTCGAATTTTTCATAGTGAGACGAAGAAATTGATATATTGTACGCTCAAAACAGATAATGGATGAATGAGAAATTAATTCTCAAAATAAACTCATTTGAGTTGTAAATGAAGGTGAAAAGGTTTCCGGTTAGTTGTCCCACATTAAAAAAAAAAAAAAAAAAAAAAAAAAAAAGGATTTGCACCACTATATATACAAGACCCTTTTAAATGAAGGAAAAATGGCACTTTTTCCCCCTGTGTTATATGCTTATAGCACTTTTTCCCCCTGAGTTATTCATGCATTCACATTTGCCCCCTCAATTATTATAGAAGTGGCGGTTTTTCCCCCTGATAATATTAAATGGACATTTCTACCCTTAAAAAATATTTTATTTATTTCTCTTCTTCAACAAATTATTGCTTATACGTAGGGATGACCACGGTTCGGTTCGAACTGAACCAAACACTATAGCAATCAAATTAAAAAATTTCGGTTATGATTCATAACATAACCCAATATTTGGGTTTCCGTTTATTAAAATCGTGAACTAGAAAAAAATGGATCCTGAACCGTGAACCGGAGGTTCAAATCGGAACAACTACTAGCAATAGCTTAAATTAGAATTATAATATTTGCAAATAGTGTATGTTTTTTTCCGCATTTATATTGACTCTCACATATAAGTATATATAATCGCGGTTTGAGTTTTATTTTGAACCGTCGGTTCACGATTTTGAATCCAATTTGAATGGTTGGTTCAAACTTTCTTTTAAAATTTTATTTTTTTATTTTTAAAATATTCTAAATTCAACACTTAATGTATTTTATTTTTTCAAATCGTGGTTATAATTTGTTGGAGAAGAAAAATAAATGAAATATTTATTTTAAGGGTAAATATGTCCATTTAATATATCAGGGGGAAAACTGTCACTTAAATAATTTAGGGGGAAAAAGTGCTATAAGTATATAACAAAGGGGGAAAAAGTGTCATTTTCCCTTAAATAGATACTCTTTCTTGTGACTATTCTTCTATCATACATAATAAAATCTAAAAACATTATTATAAGTAGTGAAAATTATGTAATAATTATTGTAAATGAGCTACTTAGTAGGGATTATTTGTGTTTTATTGTTGCAATTAAATTTATATTATCTATTACTTTTATGTAATTAAGCACATAAATTGAGTTATACAATAGATATATACATAACCACACACTCTGCACTCAGGACTTGAAGAGTATGAAGACTAGTAAAAAGAAATGCACTAGAGAAAGCAAGGTCATATTGAAGAGAGTTTAAATATAAGTGAAATTAGGAAGCTAATAATATAGCAAAATGACCAACAAATTTACATCTATCATACATCATTCTTTTCTTCATTAAGGGCTTCTGCTACCTGAACTGCAGTTCTGGTTTCCTTGCTCATGCTACCACCTTGATGGTTACCTACAACATCAAATCGAAGTAAATGATTTACGGGAAAGCCCACAACCACTACTCGAACATGCCCGAACATGCCCTCTGGTTGAAGCCTGCCTTGTGACTCTAGCCAGCAAAGAACCGATTAAACCAGTCTGGCTCAACCCAAGAGGCAAGAGGCAATAGACAGTTCTTGGGGTGAGTCAAACTGGGAACTTTATGGTTATCAAATTAACTGTCTGACCAAAATGACCGGGATTACCCCTATATTTAATCATAACACATGTGAATACCTGGGGGAAGAAAACTTTGGTCACCGGATACAAATGGGCGACTGGAGCCGACTCTTAACGATGCTCTCCCTTGCAATTCTCGTAGTATGGCTGAGCCACTTCCCGCACCTGTCTCGTTCTCGCCAGCAGGCACAACATTTTTCTCACCGGACACTCGTCCTGCAGATTTTGGAGCATACGTCGTGGACCAAGACCCTCCATTTGAACCAGCTAAGGCCATAATAAGATCTGCCTGATATATATCGCAAAATAAATCATATGTGCAGAACTTAACAAGTAGGAAATACAGCCACACCGTAAATTAGATACAAGTACTGAAATAGACAAATCAAACGTCAAATTCGGGATCAGAGCTCATCATTTGGTATCAGAGTTCATCAAGTATAACAAGAAGTCCATGCATAACAACCACGATGTAAACTTCGATCAAATAAACAAAAACAAACCTTGTTGGGGTGTACATCATCAAAAACATGTGCTTGACCACCATAAAATATCGTCATTTGATGGCCCGCAAATCCCACTCCTTGCCGACTGTCACAAAACAACTTTCATATTAAAAGAAGAAATTTTGAAACAGTTAGCCTGCTCTTTCGAATTCCATTTACCTTGGATTAGAAGATTCGGGCTCAGAGCTTTGAACCCCAAAGCTCGGTTTACAGCCACTTAGTGGCACCCCGGAGAGGGTTCTATCTGACATTCCAGCACTCGTATTGATGGATCTCAAAATCCCAGACCCTTTGATTCCCGTTCTTGATCCTTCATCAGCAGCTGCTTGGGATATCACCGAAGGACCAGCATTGTTGTCTCGAAACCTGTTGGCCGGGGGGGCTTGATACCCGAAAGATACAGCTTGGCTGGTGGCATGGGGAGGATACTGCTGCAACGTGGGAGTGGCACTGATCGGGACTCGATCCCATTTCGAAGTATTAGCATAAGCTCTAGCGCCCATAGAAAGAGAGGATGACGAAAGTGGCCTCATTGGATGCACTCCAAGTGATGGCTCTTCATTGTACGGTGGTCCTCTAGGTCGTTCCCCTCCTGCACCCCGTAGCAGCTGAACCTCAACAAAACTATCAAGTATCAGAGTAATCGCTAAATTGTTGTCAACATCATAAACCATTGCGAAGAAAACAAAAACCATACCTTCATCACATGTGAGGTAGCAAGCGAATCAGGTTGCACCCCTGGAAATCTATCTTTACAAGACCCCATAATCGAATGATTAGAATCCGAACTGCATCTCTTACTTCCCGAGAATCGAAAACTCGCCTCTGGCCCTGAAAAATCACCTCTTAAGCCACATAAAAGCTAACAAATTTTCAGAACCTTTCCTGCCATGTTCTTCCTGTAAAATCACCTCTTAAGCCACAGAAATCTAACTTTTCAAAATCTTCCCTGCCCTGTTCTTCTACCCTAATTTATAAATGCTATCAAATTACAATCCATTTAAAATATCATCTGTTCATTCTATCAATGGCCACTCACAAGAAGAAGACATGGAAACTTATAAAGCTAATACTAACTCCACTCCATTGATGACCTCACAGAAAACTACTCCACCAAAAGAACTCTCATTACAAGTCAGCTACAATAGAACCATAATTAACATACAAAACAAAAACATTAAAAATAAAACATATTAAATCAAAACAAACTTCATTTCAGATTCCTAGTAATCTAGTATGGCCTTTTTTTAATGTGAAAAGAAAAAAAAAAAAGTATTCATATTCCATAAATAGCACACATCTTCAGATACAACAAATAAATATAAATAAACCAGAAGATTTAAGCAAAAGGAAATTAAGCAGTACTAACCAGAACACATATCTGAAGTGGTGGACACAGGGCCACAGCCGCCGCCGCCGGAGGAGGGCTCCAACGGCGGCCGGGAAGTGGCGGGCGGCGCCGGAGACGAATCTGGGGCACACCCTTTGCCCAAGAAATCATGAAAAACGGTACTGCCCTTCACTTCCTCTGCAGCATTAGCAGGAATCTTGGTGTTTGCATTGGTGTTAGGCTGAGCCATAGGACAGAGAGAATCACAAATCCATTCCTTATTTCCTTTATCTTGAAATCATTACTTCCCTTGATGAAGCTCCCTCAGTCGCAGCATAGCTCTGTGTAGTGATAGCACGAGAAAAAGAAAGCTAAAGCTAGAGTCTTTGCATAAGAGAGAGAGAGAGAGAAGAAAAGGGTGCACGATTTTCAGAAAAGATGACTATATACACAGGGTTTGATTCGGTTTTTTTTTTTTTTTGGGGCTCCCCTCGGTATATTTTCTCAATTCATATGATTATTTAATTTGCTTCAAAATATTCTTTAGTGCCTTGTTTATTCTATATCTATATCTACATTTATAAATCTAAGAGCTAATAAAATGAGACCCTTAACATAAATTAACTGTTTTTTATTGATTTAAATCAATCAACTATGAATAATTTAAATTGATTTACCTTCTTATTGTTATTTACCAATTAAGACTACCTGGCAAACTTTACCTTTAATACACCTTAGGATAGCGAATGCGTGTCCCTTAGCCTATGGGGAAGAAACACAAACACACAGACTCTCTTTTGACGAATAAAATGTGGGAGTAACAAAGTGAGAAAGTCCTTTGGGAGTAACAAAGTGAGAAAGTCCTTTATGCACAATAAACAAAAATTTAGTCTTTGTGTTTAGTTAAATTAACATATTTAAATTTTTTCAGATGTTCTATTGGGTCAAATGTGGGGCTCTTGGGTTAAGAATTCAACTTTTTGGTAATAAAGTATACAATGTGGGTTCTACATAACATAGGGAGAGGTACCGGAATTCTTAAATGATCATGGGACAGTTGTTCATATGAATGTCACATATTTAGTCAGAGGTACTCACAATCCTTAAATGATCATGCATAGACATTTACAAAATCTATTTAATATAAACCGTTACAAATGTATAGTACGTGAAAATGAATTAATCTTTTTAAATAATCATACTTTTAACCGGCTCTATATAATACGGATTATATAATTAATTTAATTAAATTTCATTATTTCAATCTGTTTTAATCTACTCAAAGATTACACAAATCGTTCATAAGCAAATTATTTTGTATTGTTGTATTACGATTCTTTACTATCCCGTAATCATATTAGATTTAGTTAATTCAAATTTAAATTGTTGAACTTTATTTAGAGAAGCTTGCCCAATTTGTTGTTGTACTATTCACAAAGTTCAAACTTAATACTAGTAAGATAATTAAATTTCTTACATGGAATATTCTAAATATTACATTTTGATTTAAAATTATTACATTTTCTCAAAAGTATCATATTTTAATTTTAAAATATTACATTTTTTTTCAAAAATATTATACCCTTTCTCTCATATAAATATCACATTTTTCCTTATAAGTAACAATCAATATAATTTATCCCTTATTAATATTATATTACACTTTTCATTAGTATTTCATTTTTATATAAATCTGACTTGTCTCATGAATAAAGATACATGAGATGGTTCCAATTAAAATGCACTAGGCAAGATGATTTGTGGCTATGTTATGCTATTTATTATTTATGTATCATTCATAAGTATAGTATTGTCATGATATCATTTTTTTTAGGTGACAAGAAAAATATGTTATCACGATATATTTATGGTGTGGACTGAGTAAATTTTTATTATAATCCTAGCTGATCTACTCAAATTAATAAAGTTAATAGACAGCTATAATAACTAGGAGAGTTAATTCCAGCAATGGTCCTCCGACTATATTGATTTTCCAAAATTAGTCTTTGACTTTTAATTTGGACACTTTAGGTCCCTTGACTTTCAATTTCTTTCCAATTGAGGTCCTTTCGTCAGAATACGGTTAATTGAATTTTAAATGAAGGGATAAACTCATCATTTCACCTACCTATGTATTATTCTTAGTATTTCTCCATTGTATACGCGATATATATGAAGATAATCTTAGTCAAAACCCTAAAATGTTCCTCGTCGTTCCCCATTTGCTGACTACTCGTGTGTGCGTTCCTCTATTATTGAGATGTTTACAAGGTATAACAGCGAAATACGAAGGGAGAAATACGAAGAATAATACATAGGCATGTGAAAAGACGAGTTTACCCCTTCATTTAAAGTCTAATGAACCGTATTCTAACGAAAGGACCTCAATTGGAAATAAATTAAAAGTCAAGGGACCTAAAGTGTCCAAATTAAAAGTCGGAGACTAATTTTGAAATATCACTATAGTCGGAGGACTATTGCTGGAATTAACTCTAACTAGGAGTTAAAGTTGTAACTTTGTTAATCAACTTGGATAATTTTGAATTTTTTGACATTATAATCAATAATTATATTAGTCATTGAAAAAGATAAAATTTTGTTTTTCTTCTACGCAATCAAAAGTTGCGTGACGAAAATATATACTTCAATTTCTAGAAATGTGTTCTGACAATTTCCATTGTGATGAATATGGTCGCCAAATAATTCAGGGAGGAAGACGAGGCCCGAGGGGGCTGCCCACACGTGAATAGGGGATCTTTGTGTTGGTATGTTGGAACATGAGTAGGAAGAATATTGATTTCAAAGCATTGATTCTCTCTCACTCTTTCTCTCTTTCTCTTTCTTTTCCCTGAGAGATTGAATCTCCAATTTTAAAGGTCCTTACATTTTGATCGCATTTTGGACGATATAAATCAGATTCAACAGATATAGCTAAATGTGCACAAAAATCTGTTCACTTTAAACATATAATCACTATTGAAAATTATGAAATTTTTGACCACCTAAAAGTGATCTTAAATCAAATCGAAAGCAAAAAGTGTTCGGAAATAGCTATAAAGATTTTTCCGAACACCAAAAGTGGTCGGAACAAGGCTTTCGACTTGATTTAAGATCATTTTCAGGTGATCAGAAATTTCATTATTTTCAGCCGTGAATCTCCACGTTGTTGCTGTCGAAGTTCAAACTTTGATCCTTTTCCCCAAATACTACTTAGTAAACTAAGTTGGTGTGGACCTCTCTTTCTCTCTCTCAACCTATAAATACACAAATATATACAAGAGATGATGAGTGGATTTGTTGACTCCATCACTCCTCCATGACACATCTCCTCCCTCCACAGTCTACATTGCCCCCATTACATACTCAGCCGTCCTTTTCTTCTCCTTGGACTTTGTGTAATTTACTCTTTTTTTTTTTTTTGATTGCCCCTTCAATAGATTCTCCCTTTCTTGTCTTCAAGACAATACTTACCATCACCATAGATTATCATACTGTTATTTTGCCTTTGTCTTTTCCACTATACCTCTACCTAGCTGCTTTGCTGTTTTCATTGGCTGCATTTCTCATTTTCACTTTTTTTTTTTTTTGAAACCTCTCATTTTCATCTATTAACTTGCACTTTAATATAATAGCAATGCCAATTGTTGGAATTTTGCATGGCATTTTTGTTAGATTTTTAGCATCCATGTAAAACGAGAAAAGAATAAAATAAAAAACCACCTGAAGTCTAAATATTTCAAACCTCAAAATTTTATAATAATTATAAAATTGACATTAATATTTTTTTAATTAGAGCATTAACATCTGTTATTTTTTGGTGGATTATGGCAGAGAAAAAAACAAATGAAGAATGATAAAGCTGATGGGAAGGCCAAAATGTGGATAGTTTTTTCTCTTGCAGGAGAAAAAAAAAAAGTGATTCATGCGCGTTTGTGGCGTGTTTGGCGGCCACTCTGACTTTTAAATAACTTTTTTTATTGTTTTTTTTTAAATGTTGCCAGCTTTGTTTTATTTTTTTTCTCTTTCCCAAAAACCCTTCAAAAACCACAAAAAAACTACACTACTATGGATGCTCTTAAACATTTATTAGCAATTATGATCAGTCATCACTTTAGTACCATGCTCTCATTTGAGCAATTTTTCGCATTTTTGCAAGTGCAATCTTTTAATACTAAATATGCAAAATGTTAATATTAAATGTGCAAATCTGAAAAAGTATGAGAATTGTAGATTTTAGTATTCAAGTATGTATAGTATAGTTGGTGACATTGTATTAAAAAAAACGAATCTGATTATGTAAAGCTAAGACTGATTGGTTTATATTTATCTGCTAAGGACTTGTTCTCATTTTATCTAATACTTATATATATATATATATATATATATATATATATATATATATATATATATATATATATATATATATATATATGAGACGGATGAGGTGAAAATCAACTGTCCATGAGAGAACTAAAAAAAATGCAGTGACATTTTTATAAATAATTGAACATTGAAGTACAAGTAAATTATGTTAAAATTGCAAGTAATAGTTTTTCTAACTTTGAAGTGCATAAGTTTTATACTACAAATGCATAAGTGTATACTACTAGTTTATAAATTTATGCACTTGTAGTATAAAACTTGTGCACTTTGTAGTATACTTCAAAGTTAGAGATATTTGGTCAAAGTACATGTGAGGTCCTTGTACTATAGTGTTTTGTTCAATTGAGTTCTTCTACCTTAATTTTGTTCAATTTAGTCCCTGTACTTAAAAAAAGTGAAACAATTAAGGATGATAGTTGATTTTTATGTATTTATTTTAGACATATTAATGTAATATATTTGTGGTAAAAATAATTAATTTTAACTAATTTAAAAATAATATATGCCAACGCCAAATCAGCTATTGTCCTTAATTGTTTCACTTTATAAAGTACAGGGATTAAATTGAACAAAATTAAGGTAGAGGACTAAATTGAACAAAATACTATAATACAGGGACCTCATAGATACTTTGACCGAGATATTTACAAAAATGTCATCCCGTTATTCTTAAAAATATCAAAACGTATACACTATAAAGTGCAAAAATTTATACTACAAAATGTAAAAGTTTTATATTACAAATGTATAATTTTATATTACAAGTTTTGAAAAATTTTCTCCATTTTTTAAAAGTGTTAGTCTATATAGATCAACAATTCATATCTCACCTCATTTTTCATAGGTGTCCTCTATTATGCTTAAGTCTCTTTTTCTTGTTCACAATAGCGTCCTCATTTTATGCATGCTCACTATCCAATATCTCATTACTTCACGACTCTATCAAATAATGTATTAAAAATAAATATTAAAAAATTAATGTCATATTTAAAAACTCCACAA